AATTGTCCCTCTCACTCACTACCTCCTTCATTGGAGAATGCACAAGCATTGGGACCTAAAGACTAGAATTGCTAGTTCTGACTCATATACTGTTGTGTGAATCTTTCAAGAAATTTCAACTTCCAATTCAGCTGTTCAAAAAAAATTGCTGCCATTTATTTATCTGTATCAATCTAATTTGCCTCTGAGCCATCATTTTTCTGTGCACTTGATATAAAAGATACAGCCCAGCCAGTGTGGCTCAGTGGCTGAACATTGACCCATGAACCAGGAGGTCATGGTTCAATTCCCAGTCAGGGCACATACATGGTTTAATCCCCAGTTAGGGGGCATGCCGGAGGCAGCTAATCAATGATTCTCTCTCATCATTGATGTTTCTATGTCTCTCCCTCTCCCTTCCTCTCTGAAATCAATAAAAATATATTTTTTAAAAAGATACAAAGAAGTTAAAAAATCTACAAGTAAATATATGATTAAATGGAGGAAATAACTTTGGCAAAGATAATAGGCTTTATAAATTAACTACAGCCCTGGTGCACGAATTCGTGCACAGGTAGGGTCCCTTGGCCTGGTGGATGATCAGGGAGATCTGGGCCTGCTGGCCAGCTGCAGGAGGTTGGCTGTGGGAGTACACTCACCACCAGGGGGCAGCTCCTGTGTTGAGTGTCTGCCCCCTGAATGTCAGTGTGTGTCATAGCAACTGGTCAACTAGTTCAGTTGACCCGTCATAATGGTCACTTCGGCTTTTATATATATAGATGTGACCAATTTCTGTTTTTCACCCTTGTTTCACATTAGAGTTAAATGGGGGAACTTTAAATGGGTCTGATGATTGGATCCCATCCCCAGAAATGTAATTGTTTCAGATTTTTAACAGCTTGTCAGAAGATTCTAATATGCAGGCGAAGTTGGGAACCAAGGTTTTAGGACAGTGTTCCTGAGGCTTTAAAGTTCATACAGATCACCCAGGGGCCCTATTGTACTGTAGATTCTGATTCAGTAGGACTGGGGTGGGGTCAAGATTCTGCATGTCTTCCCTATGCCTGTGTGCTGAAATGGAGGCATGCATACTAACAGAGGCCAAAGGAGGGGTACTATTTACTGCTTGGGGAGAAGTTGATGAAGCAAATTTTTTTTCCCTGGCCTAGGAATAGGTTTTAGAGTCAAAATAATCTCTTTTCACACTAACATAGATATTTCCCTCCAGCAAATTAAGTACCCTCTAGAATGTTCTTATCTCTGAAATCCCAATTTTTACTGCTCCATGCACCAGCTACTATCTCTATCCTTCCAAATCAAAATACCTCCACTATACCAATTCTTAGATTACAGAAAGAATTCCAATCCATTGTTCCCAGCATTCTTTAATATATTGATTGATCTATCTACATAAATATTTATCATCTTCCTAAAGCCTTTCCTTCTTGCCTCCCAAAGATTCCATTGTGCATCATTACAATCACTTCCTTATAAACAGCCTCATTTGCCCCTCTCTCTGTGTGATATTCATCCTTCCAACTATTATATCCAACTACTTTTTTTCCATGTGTGCATTTTCTTAATTGAAGTTTACTTGAGAAAAATCATACTACTATGCCATTTGGACACACTTTATTTATTATTACTATTATTATTATTACTTTGTTAATCCTCACCTGAGGACATTTTCCCATTGATTTTTAGAGAGAGTAGAAGGGAGGGGGAGAGACAGAGAGAAACATCAATGTGAGAGAGACACATCAATTGGTTGCATTCCACACAAGTCTAGACCAGGACTGAGGATTGGATCAAGCTTGCAACTGAGGTACACACTCTTGGCTGGAATCAAACCCAGGACGTTTTGGTCTGCAGGCCGACACTCTATCCACTGAGCAAACCTGGCTACAGTTCATTTGGACACACTTTAAATTCATGACACAAATTGGAAATGAACACTTAATCCTGTTGGCAATACCACAGTCTTTCCTCAGTTCACCTTCTCATTCTCAGAAGATACCTCTGAACTTCTTCTCATTTCTTTGTCCACTAATACCCACTTTTTGCCTCACTCTCAGCTAAAGAACTCACCTCATATTTTATTAAGAAAATTGATGTGATCATGTAGGAACTACCTTATGCTGTCACCCACACACAAACCATCTGCATCTAAATTAACCTTTTGTCTTTCCCTCCTGTTAAAAGAATGGGAAACCAGGGTCTTTTCAAAGGCCCATTCCCCTCCCCATGCTTTGGATCCATTCCTTCATCCTCCTCTATAATTTTATTCTTATAGATATTCCCTTTTTCTTCAACATCAACAATTTCTCTTTCTGTACTAGATCATTCCATTTTTTTTTATCTACCAACACAACAATGTCAACAAGAAAAAACTTCCCTTCTTTACTTGACCCACTCTAACCATCTTCCCTCCCCCAGACTCCAACCCCTCTCCCAAGAAATTAACAAAAAGAAGAAACAAAACCTCAAGACTTGTCCCTACATATACATACATCTTTTTGCTCTTCAATACACTTGGTCTTTCTGCCATACTACACTGCTGAAACTACACTTGCCAGAGGCTTTAATAATTGCAGTGTTGCCAAATCCATTGGCCATTTCTGTGTCTCACTACTTGACTTCCATGCAACATTTGCCATTGTTTTGACCACTTCCTTTCCATTGTAAAACTTTCTTCTCTTGACTTCTATGACATTAGTGTCTTGTAAAATAACAGCCAGTCTCTTGCTGGCTCTTCCTCCTCTGCCCAACTTTGAAATGTTGGAAATTCTCATGGCCCAGTTCTCTCTATATATCTTTGCTTAGATAATCTCTTCTAGTCCCAAGGTTTTAAGTTTCATGTATAAATTCATAACAGCTAAATTTATGTCTTCAGCCTAAACTCCATTTCAGACTAATATATCCATCTGTTTACTTGACATTAGCACTTGTGTATGTAATAAGCATCTCAAACTTAATTATTGTCGATGCTCTCCAGCTAGAGACCACTAGGAAAACAACTATAGTTGAACAAGTTGGGTTTATGACTTGTTTCAGTAAGAATGCACACTATGGAGAATCATGGGGCACCTCAGTAAGAGGTGTTAAAAATTTGGGGTTGTGTTAGATGATTTAGGGGAAGGTTCAAGGAAAGAGGGATTTTTCTCTGGGTTGGAAGCTGTAAGGAGGCAGGGGTAAACCTATAATATTTTAAAAATATTTTTTATTCATTTTTTTGAGAGAGAGATGAAGAAAGAGGAAAAGGGAGTGAGAAAGAGAGAGCGAGAAACATCAGTCAATTACCTCTCATATGCACACCTATGGTGGGGATGGAACCTCAACCTGGGCATGTGCTCTAACCAGTAATTAAACCCAACACCTTTTGGTGCATGGGATGATGCTCAACCAACTGAGCCACTCAGGCCAGGGCTATAATTTGGTATTTTAATACGTATTATCTAGAAGGACTGAGGCTAAAACTGTAATTGATGAAGACACAGCAGTCACTCATATTAGCCAGGATAGGGAAATGTTTGCTCATTTTGGGGAGGCCTGGACAATGTTTGTCTATCTATGTTCATACATGATTACAGAGTGATCTTATTTCTGTCTTGATCCATCATGGTCACAGAGTGGCCTTGTCTGATGTTGATGTTCTATGAAAATTTGCCCTCCTCAAACATACTAGGATCATTCCTCACTCTGCACTTTCTCGATTCTTTACCTGGTAATCTCATTACCTGGCTTCGATCATGATGCCTCCTTCCTACTCGCTATCACAACCCTTCTTTGGAGCACTAATCAATATCTGCTGTCCATTCATTCATTTGTTTATTGTCACCGACTCACTGGGATTTAGTTTCATAAAGTATTTTTTCTGTCATGGTCATTGCTGTAACCTCAGCCTCTAGAAACTCACCTTATAGTCAAGTGCTTGTCAATGTAAGAAACATTCAAACCTGTGACAAATTGTTGTGAGTTTATTTGAGCCAAAACTGTTGACAATTGCCGGGAAGCAAAATCTCAACGGATTGAGACAATGCTCTGGAGAATGGCGGTTTTGCACCTTATTTTATACATCACAATCAAAAGAGATAACGCAAGTGGTTTATGTGAAATCCACCAGTGATAGATTAGGAAGGTGGGAGAAAGCAAAGCCGGGAAGCCTCTTGAGATTGGATAAAAAGTAAAATGATTGACAGATACTTCTTTTACTTAGATGGGTGCAGGATAGTTAGCAGTCAACAATAACTCAGTGACAATGAGGGGATTTGTGGTATCTGCAGAGCAATGCCTATGCTTTAAGGGGTCTGGAAAAGGAAAATTTACTTTGACATTCCAAGTATGTTGTCACTGATGCAAAAAAGATGACAGACAGGCTCAGTTGAGGTAAAAATTGACCTTTGCCAGGGAAGATCCTGGCCTAAGACATGACTACCTGCCATAAACTGATTTTAATTTTGAAAGTTTTCATTTCAGACCATGTTTTGTGGTTACTTTAGGTCTCTGAGTTTGCAAGGCTGCTATGAAGGCCTCCTATGGGCTAGCATGTGGCCCCTATTTGTCCACAGGCTCAATAAAAGCACTGTCCTCAACGTCACTGGGCTGTTTTCTGTGAATACAACCATAACCAACCAGCAGTTGCACTTTTTGTGATTTTTAAGGAGTAGTAGGGCAGTCCGCAAAAAGAAGTAAAATCAGAGAGTCAAAATGAGTCTTGTCTATAGTGCCCGATGTCTTGTGTGACCACAATAAATTGGGATACAGTAAGACTCCAGAACTTGAGACTTTTCTGCCCCTGAATTATCTTCTTTCCTGAAAATTGTGTAGGATACTTATCTTTATGGTTCACTCTATTTTTTTATGAAAGGATTATTCCCGGGTTTTATTTCCGTAACCGCGATGGACCAGCCACCGCCTGGGCCAGTAACCCAGCCCCTTCGCGCAAGCGCCCAGGAGCCGAAGCCACGGCGACCAGGGCTTTGCATTGCGCATGCGCGACTAGGACCGCCTGGAAGCGCCGAGGCGGGAAGTGTTGCGCAGGCGCGTTTGGCAGAGTCGCTAGGACGTGCGCTCTCGAAGACGGCGACCCAGGCGTCTGGGGAGCCCCGGAAGTCGTATTCCCTTAAACTGTGAGTTTCGAACGGTTTCTTCCACGGCGCGGGGTTGTGAAGGATTAGAAACGAATTTCGGGTCGAGCGGTCCGCGCCCCCAGGGGGATCCATTCACTCCCTTTCCCCTGCTCCTGCCGGTGCTCGTCCCCGGGGTGGTATCATTTCTCGGCCAGCTTGTTTGGGGACGTGGCCGAGCTTCCTGGCGCTCCCTTTCACTAGTGGAGCGACTTCCTCTGTCCTCCTCCTCCTCCTCCTCCTGTGCTCTTGGGTCAAACCGCTGCCCCCGCTGATGCTTCCCCCACCCCTCTGCG